AGTCTGTCGTATTTCTCCTGGCAGTCTCTATGGAACCAATCAGATTTAGCCAAGCTTGTAGCTGTGATCGATCGGTTGGTTTCCGTGTCGTGTTGGCCAACCAATATAGGAGAAATAAACAGCAAGACAACGTAGCTTTAATACCTAAAACACAAGAAACGGTTCAGACTGAATAACTTTCTCACCGCGGCACTACCCTCTGGCCGAAAATAATGGTAAGCTAAAATAAATGTAAAAAGAAATATGAAGGAAAGAGAAAGCTTCTGGTCAAATGGAATGCCAACCTCATTACTCGCTGGAGCACTTGTGCCCAGGAGAGTAGGTTTTCTTCAGGCAGTTTTGGTGGATAGTACATTTCCTATCGTCGTTGATAGTCACAAAATAGAATATTATTGAGCAGCCCAATTTTTCCCACATTATGCATAAGGCTTCGGGCAAATATATATATATATATATATATATATATATATATATATATATATATATATATATATATATATATATATATATATATATATATATATATATATATATATATATATATATATATATATATATATATATATATATATATATATTAAAAGAAAATCTCTACTTTTCGGAAACGGTAAACTATGGATAAAAAAAGACGGAAGCAACAGTTTATTTGACGTCACTATGGGTATAGTTTCGACGGCGCTGAAATTTGTGAGCGGTTGTCCTTTTCATTTTAAATCACTTACGTAAGAGGTATGGCAAGGGAAACATCGGTCTTTATAGAGATGACGGTTTGGCTATTAGCCTATAAAAAGCAAATCCGACCGTTTACTAGACAAAACTAGAAAAGAGTTACAAAATTTTCGTGCAAGTTGACCTGAAAATCACCGCCGAAGTAAATTTGAACGTTGTAATTTTTTTAGATTTAACTTTCGACCTGAACAGCCCAAAACACAACCATACAGGAAACCCAATGACGATCCATTGTACATCAACAGACATTCAAACCACCCACCATGTATTACAAGGCAATTACCTGCGGCTATCAACAAACGTATTGCACTTCTCTCATCGGACGAACAAACATTTAAGGAATCTACGCCTATTTACCAGAACGCTCTTACACACAGTAACTTTGATCACGAATTTACGTACACTCAGGATGCATCTCAACGGACACGTAGGAATAGGCAACGCAACATAATTTGATTCAAGCCATCATTTAGTGAGAGTGTTAAGAGGAGACTTTTTTGTATGTTACGTAACACGCGCTCAAAAGTAATGCGTAAAATATATCACTTGAGGTTATGACTAAATTCAAAATTTTTATTTTTCGACACGTTTCTCAATCGGCAAAGAAACTTAAAAAGTATGTTTAGTGCTTTATCTGTAAAATAATACTAAAATGAAAAGATTTTAGAAGGTACGCCGAAGAGAAAATGACGTCTGAAGTTCAGTAAGTTTTGCTTATATGGCTGTAAATATGGCGTCAATTCTAAAGCATCATTGATAATTATATTTTAGTTGACAATTTTTGACTATTATTTTATGTTTCTCAACCTGCTGATGCATATAAAAAGGTTGCTAACTGTATAAACTAGAGAATAAAGCTAAAACAAAGTAATTTTGAAAGAAACGCCAAAAAGATATTAGGTTTTGAACACTTTTCATGGCAAATACGTAACATTGAAAAAAATTGCCTCTTAACACGAACATAGGACGGGAATTCTTCAGTTTAATTGACAAACACTTTCCACTACAGCACAAACTACACAAGATATTCAACAGAAACACTTTAAAAATAAGCTATAGTTGCATGAACAACAGAACAACGTTAAGTCTATAATCATCAAACACAACGCACATATAATTAGTGAACAGCCAATCACAGAATACGGAAACTGGCAAATGTAACTGCGACAGCAAAAACACTTGCCATGCACTATCGAAACAATGTATCACCAACAACATTAAGTACAAAGCCACAGTCACAACGAACAACGTACACGAACGACACTAAACACTACATTAATTGGTATGACAGCGACTACATTTAAAGCCGGATTTCCACTAGGCGGAATTTTGCGCGCGGAGCGGAATTTCTCTTTGTCTTGTGATTTCTCGGGTGGAACTAATTAGAAATGACAAAGAAAAATTCCGCTCCGCGCGCAAAATTCCGCCTAGTGGAAAACAGGCTTAAGGAACGTTACGCTAACCACACTTCATCTTTTCGTCATAAAAAAGATTCAAACGAAACGGAACTTTCGAAATATATTTTGAAATTAAAAGAAAACAATCAAGATTATACCATCAAATGGTCAATTTTAAAACACGCTATTTCGTACATAGGGGGGATCAAAACGCTGCAATTTATGTTTGGAAGAAAAATTTTGCATTTTGAAAGACATAAACAAACTGAGATAATTTACTCAATAAAAGAAGCGAAATTTTCGGCAAGTGTCGTCACAAAAACCGGTTTCGAGTAAACAAGATAGTTAACAAAATTTTATGACCCAAGCATTGTTTCGACTAAGCACTGTTTCGCCTACACGCATTCCGCGCATTCTTTTGATAGCAAAAGCAACCTATATTTTCGAAATTACTCACCACCTGATGATTCCTACACGGATGAAACAGACTGTTGTGGTTTTTTGAGGTAAAACGAAAAACTATATTACGCTCTATCTATATGGTATTGACTAGCAATGTTTGTGTTTAAACCAAAACCTTAAGCTATATATTTTTTCGTTGGTTTATAAATTTTCATGTCCTGGGTGCGCCAACTAGGAAAGACAGACAGATGCTTCTACACAAGACTGAACGAACATGCAATCACAGACAAAAACTCAGAGATTTATAAACACATTAACACTTGCGACTTAAATTACAACTTAACATAGACGAACCCAACACTGACCCATTTAACCTAATAGCCTTCCTACTAAACAACTGCGACATCTATGATAGGGCTAAGCTAAGCACTGGTCAAATCTGCTGTTCAAAGAAGCATCGCTATTCATCGACAAAAACTGGAACTGAATCATGGCACTAAAGCATCCAGAGAACTATCGGTTTTCTTTTGATTATATCAAATTACTTAGAGTGTATATATAACGCATGCACATGTAATAAGCCTATACTCATTCCTGATGATGACTAAATAAAATCGAAACGTTGAATCAAAATGCTTACTTTATTCTGAGTTACCGTAGTATTGTATAAATGTCAATGCTATATAAGTATAGGTAATCACACGGGAAGGAGTGAAATTAATGATTAACACTATACTACAAGTAATATTGGAAAAAAGTGCCAAAATTACACAACATTAATAATTAATTTAACGACTTGCCCGTGTGATTAGTTACTTATTTTATGCATGGCATGATGACAAAATAGTTTTCTTTGAAATTCAACTTAATTTTGGCAAGAGTTTTTAATTCTTTTGTAAGCAATTTGGCATAAACAAACCTGGGAAACGATCATAAACTCCAGAGGAGGAATCGTCACTATACCGTGATGCATTGCGGCGGATTTTTTTCTCAATTGTGAATTTCGCGTGCGATCGACGAAATAATTGGGAGTTTTCATCGAATTTTTTCTCGCCGAAAATCACGAAAGTTTCAAAGGTATTTATTAAAAATATGTTCTTGGGTATTGAAATTTACTATATAAATATTTTATTTGGGTTATTTGATACTTTTGGGGCGAATAATTTGCATATGTTTTGACCTATTTTCCGGGTCACTGCACACAGCCGGAAATTGGCTTCAATATATGATGGGGTCGTTTATAGTTTAAAATAGAAAAAGTCGAAAAAAATCGTACCAGTACATAGAAGAGAAGTTATTCTTTCAAATGATACCAAGAAATCAAAAACGACCCCTCAAACCGAGAAGTTAATGGCTTTTCAAAATGGGGTATTTGGTGCTTGATTTATTCAAACCAGATTCAAACTATGCGTAAACACGCGACATTCCGGTTACCGCGCGAAATGGCGCGAAAACACAATGATATTCAATTCATCATGCAATGGCCTGCAATCATGTTATTTTTCAGTTTTGATATATAGGAACATGAGTTCGTACCCTTTATCAAATGTTCTTATCCATTTTCTATTATATTGATGAAGTATTAAAGAGACAATAGCTTGTTTAAGACTGATATTTACAGTTTATACTGGAGAAAGCAATGTTGTTTGTTTGTATTAATATAAAATAGGATACCTCTATGATTTGCTATGAAATGTAATCTCGTGATGTTGCTAATGAGAATACTGCTAAGCGTGTATATGTTTTGAGTAGTAATACCCAAGCAAGTGCACCTAGACCTGTGATTTTTGATGTCATCAGGCTACGGGAGCTCCTTATTGGCCAGGTATAGCATCTGGCCCGCATGTTACATTTTTCAAAATGAAAGCTAGCTAAAATTATTTGGGGGGGGGGGCGATCGCCCCCCTATTTTCCGCCACTGTTGTCAGGTATACGAGTATCATCAAGATGCTGTTCAAGGGCGGATTTTCATTTTTAAAGGAGTGGAAAAATTTCTAGTGAGGTGTAAGTGGCACCACTGAGCAAGCTTCGGCAGGGGTTGGGCATTAGGATTAAAGACCTTCACACAAAATAGGAGGGGTGAAGCAAAATTTTGGGGTTGAACACTTTATAAGAGGGGTTAGAGAGATTCTAGGGTACCCCCCCAGTAAATCTGCCCATGATGCTGTTAGAAATTATTGGGCAGGTGAGGGGGTGTGGTCACTATGCTTTCAGTTTGAAAGGTTAAGAGCCCCCCTCCCTGTGTGTACTTTTGTTGAATTTCAGGAATAATGATGCTGCATGGATATGTCATTGACATCTTATGAACTCCATTCACTAGCATTACTCATTAGGCTGTATTCTTGTCAAAATTATGCTATGAATGACCCCATAGTCATAATCACTTCATATCTCTCTATAATAAAATGGCCAATGTTCCATCAACACCTGATATATATTTCAGAACAGTACAATTAACTTGTTTCATTTTATCTTTCTGTCTTTCAGATAGTCGACTTAAAGGTCAAGGGTATACAATTCCGACAGAAAAAGATTTGTTTCCTTGGAGGAGGCTGAATCTCATCATATTTTGGCTTGTCTATATATGACAGTTTGGCTGAGCTTGTAATTGACAACAGAAAAGATCATTTTACCAAAACACACAAGCCTGTAAATGTTGAATCTCAGACATACAACCAAACAGCATCACAATGTGAACTGAAACACCACAACCTGCAGACATTGCTCAATCATTGCCCACATTTGAAAGTGTATTAAAATTGGCAAGCCATTTGGAGAATACTCATTGCATCTCATTCTTAATACAGACTGTCCAGTAAAGCAATGATAAGGCATATTTTAAACTTTATTCATACTTCATCAGTTTTACATTATTTCACATTACACCATAGTATATATTATTGACATTAAGCCATGCTGTAGTAATATGTAAAATAGGGGTGCACCAGATCCAATTTTTAAAGTTCCTGCCAGAACTGCGAAAAAGTTCTGGCCAGAACTGATTTATTAAGCCATGTATAGTCATATGTTACTTTGTCTGCTGGCAGATACTTCAAGTCATCAAGGAGGGCTCGCAAATGTGAGAATAAAAAGATTGATAAACTTTAAACATCATGTACATTTTCCTTGTGTAGTCCAAATTCCTTCCTACTGTGAACTTTTGTTTGACACAAAAACGTATGATATTCTATCTCTCTGAAAACAACAGAGTTCCAGTTCCAGTCATGCTTTTTTTATTAGTTCCAGCTGGAACTCTGAAAAATCGGAGTTCCAGCAGGAACTAACCGGCTGGAACCGAGTTCTGGTGCACCCATAATGTGAAATCATAATTTTAAAAAATAAATAAGTTAAGCAGTTAACATGTAAATATATAAATAGGTATAAATAATTTTAATATTTTATGACTCTAGATAATATTTTATACAGTAGGTTTAGATAGGGGTAGGCACATTAAAAGTACTGTTTCCTGTTCTTCTAACCTTAATATACTTTCCATGTATTTTGGTTAAATGGAAATAGTGCAACATTTCATAAAATATGCTGTTTAAAATTTTAAGTGCTGTTTCTAACAACAAAATAATTTCAAAATCAATTGACTTGTGTCTTTATTCTGTTTATAACCAGCGACCGTTGTGTACCAGAACTGTATGTGGCTGCACAGAGTTCAAACCTGGGTATAAAATCTCTGTCTCATCAATATCACATGTACCTCTTCATCATCTTATCTGTTGACTCTCAATGAGGTGGTAGATCTACTAAGCAGACAGGATTCATATGTTGATGGTAGCAATTACATGGTGCTTGTCTTTTTACTGATTTAGTGGTGGAATACAGCATCCAACTCTTGACCATCACTTGATGGTGATGGTAGAATATCAAATTCCCAGAAAATATTACATGTATTGAATATTCTCTTTGCCAGGGTCATCCAAGTCGAAGAACTAATGGAAGATATACAAGAACAAATCAGTTTTATATATAGTCAGAATAACTTCAGGAGATACTGTCAGTATAAAAGATTGTACAAATTCCTACATATATGCCCTAAAAATTTAAAGTGGCTTCCAAAACTTGTTATGATTTTAAATCTTTAATATCATGATTTGAAGTTTCTGTAGTGAATATTATTCCTGAAGTCGATATAACTGGTGTTAGTTACATTTATTATATATGGCAATTTTATAATACCCTATTAAAACATGGCAAATTTGATATAAATCTTATCCATATTTATTGAGGTTGTGCATGTTTGATGTTTCTACAAAGTTCGCTCGAATATCTACAACTTCAATATAACCTCTTACTGTGAAAAGCTCACCTTAAAAACACAACTAGAATGCATCATTCGGTAAACATTTGGGCAACTTTAACCCCATTCACAGTTGATAGAAAAATTGCATGGCTTCTCAGCTGAAACTAACGTTAATCCTACGGCACTGCTCAACACACGTTACTCCATCAGGGGCTAGATACAAAGGCTGTGAGGACCCAACAAACATAAATCAGATGAGGTGCTTCACTGCTTCCAAAAGAGAAGCTTTAATCCCATGCCAGGAGCGAAAAATATGCGCCATGTTCTAAAACGATAGATTTTCTGAGATGTGTTTACAACGACAGCCAACGAACACTGAGCGAGCTGCGCCGGAGAATTGATAATATGTATACAATGGTCCAAAACCGCAATGCATTGTGGTATACTGACGAGACCTCCTCTGGGTTTAATCATTTCATACAGCTCAAGCCTTCCCACGACATATTTATCACGGGGCGCTGTAGATAAAACCACTTTCATCACAATAAACGAATGGTTACACCAGTTCAAACTTCCCATATGGTCAAACCGCGGGACGTTCCCATATTAGATTATCGAATTCGTCGATACACATGCCTGAGATCAATAATCAGTTATTCATTTCAACGATAAATAACAGCATTCGAACTAGCATTGCCGCATACGAGCGGGCCATTACTCATTAGTATGAATTATTACGCCGATACGGTTATTGAACAATGGGTGAAAAGATTGCAAAAGATATGGCACAAGGCGCCATATCCTACCGCAAGACACTTATTTTTAACAGCAGACACTCTACTAAAATCTGGACTAACTCACATTTGACAAGCAATACTATAACCCGCCTTGATTAACCATCCGAACAGAGGGGAGCCATGGACAACTAAAACTCGCACAAGGCGCTCATGCACGTGCAAGCGAGCACGATTACGATTACAATATAACGAATACAGTTATACCTCCAAATCGTCCGAGATTTGTTGCCGTTGTGGCGCTACTGGAGGATCTTGTAGACTTCGGCGTGATCAAGGCCTTGCGGAACAGCTGGTGACGCTGCTTGGACAAGATATTGCTCTTCCTCTGCCATAACTCTCAACGAAATTCGTCCAGTTCGGGTCACCCAATTTTTGTCTTTCGGTTAGATTTGTGTCTCCTGACGGAATTCACGCTAAATGGTGCAATTTCTGCTAGGTGTGGTCATTTTATACATTGCCTGTATCACCTGATACCTAATCTACATATATATTGCATAATTATACCACATTTCCTTTTACATATGATTACGAGTATTGCGAATAGTCATACACCGACTAACCCATGCTTACCTAATAAAGGGTTTTAAAATGGGTATGCTTAACATAGCTAGCTTACCTAAACATATAGAAGAAATTAGAGTAATATTAACTGAAAAATGTCTCGATATTCTCGCACTAAATGAGACAAGACTAGATAATAATATTACCAATCAGGATATGTTTATTCACAATTATGATTTAATTAGGGCCGATCGCTCTAGAACAGGGGGACGCGTCTGTTTATATATAAGAAATTCCATTAATTATTTCGAACGAAAAGATCTGACTAGAGATAATCTTGAAGCAGTTTGTATTGAGGTTAACAAACCCTCTTCTGCATCATTTATTGTTGGTACCATTTATAGACCTCAAGGTGCTTCTGTCGACTCTTTTGCCAATACTGAGCAACTAATTAAACTTATAGATGATGAGAATAAGGAATTTTACATGCTTGGTGATTTAAATGCCAATATGCTTGACGTTTCAAATAATGCCACAAAAAACTTAAACTCAATCATTGAACTATATTAGTTAACACAAACAATAAGCTCGCCCACTCGCGTGACCATGATTTCATCTTCTCTGTTGGATGTTTGTCTCACCCCAACTCCAGATACGTTAGTCCACAGTTTATAGACTTTTTTAGTCTTATCTAGAGTGGTGCAGATTGCTATCAGCGATCACTATATGATTATAGTTGTTCGTAAAATTAATATTCGTCCTAAACAAGACAACCGCCACAAGAAAGTCGAAATTCGAAACTTTAAGTATTTTAATGATGAAAATTTTCTAATGGATTTGAGTAATCAGGAATGGGAATTGTTGGACAATAACTTCTGCGTTGACAGGATGTGGGAAACATGGAAAATTATTTTCTTGTCAGTTCTAGACAAGCATGCACCAATCAGAGAAAAGAGAGTAAAAAATATACCAAATATTCCTTGGCTGACTAATGCAATTAAAAAACAAATACGTGAACGGGATCGTCTCAAATTCCTTGCCGTTAAATATAATTCAGAAAATTACTGGACTGCATATAAAACCTCTAGAAACCATATAACTAGTACACTGCGAGAAGCAAAAACAGCATATTATAAAGCACAATTTGAAAGTGTCAAATATGACCCTAAAAAGCTTGGAAAACCGTTAATAAAATCCTTAACCGGAAACAAGAATGACGCGAAATAAATTGTGTCCATAGCGGAGCGCTTTAATAATTACTTTACTGACATTGGTCCAAAAATTGCCACAACCATTGGTAACACTGACAGAAATTTCACGGATTACATAACAAAAACAACAAGTAGTTTCAAGTTTCAAACAGTGTCTGAAACCAAAGTATACAAACTTCTCTCCTCTTTAAATCCTTGTAAATCTACTGGAATTGATAAAATTCCCGCTAAAATTATTCGTATTGCTGCGCCAATAATTGCAAATTCCATTCCTTCAGAGTGGAAACTAGCGAGAGTTATCCCTTTACACAAAAATGGCCCTCGAAACATGCTGAATAACTATCGCCCAATTTCCATTCTGCCTATATAGTAAGTAAAGTTTTTGAAAAAGTTCTATATGGTCAACTATATGATTATTTCGTTGTTAATAATTTGTTGTCTCAAAATCAATTTGGTTTTAGGCAGTTCCATTCTACAGCTTCTGCCCTTTTGGACAGTACTAACGAATGGTTCATTAATATGGACCGTGGTCAATTCAACATTGCAGTATTTCTTGACTTTCAGAAAGCATTTGATACTATAAATCATAATATATTGATTAAGAAACTTGACCTTTATGGTCTACAAAAACCTGCCCTAAATCCTTTAGGATCATACTTAGAGAACAGATTTCAAATGTGTACTGTGAATGGCGTATTGTCTAAAAAAATCTAGTTACTTGTGGGATCCCCCAAGGTTCAATTCTTGGGCCACTCTTGTTTCTAATTTATATAAACGATCTGCCTACAAGTCTTGAACACTCGTCATCAAGAATGTTTGCCGACGATACAACGTTAACTGTATCTGGTAAATCTCTTCATGATGTAGAAGTTGCCATCAATCACGATCTTTCAAACGTTAATCAGTGGCTCTGTGCAAATAAAATATCTTTAAATCTCGTTAAAACTGAGTACATACTAATTGGATCACGGAGACATACCAATTAAAAGGGTAAGAGAAACAAAGGCACTTGGAGTCTATATTGATGAATTTCTATCATGGGAAAAGAATATTGATAAAATTGCCAAAAAAGTCTCATCCGGAATTGAGGCAATCAGAAAGTTAAAATCATGTGTAGACCGTAATACATTAATTTGTGCCTATAATGCACTTGTTTTGCTTCACCTTGATTACTGTTGCGAAGTTTGGTACACCATTGGTACCACACTTTCTGATCGTCTCCAGAAATTACAAAATAGGGCTGCTAGAGCTATCGTGGGTCGTAAAAATGAACAAGGTCAATCTGAACTTTCTCTAAATGAATTAAACTGGAAGCCTCTGAGAGAACGCAGAACCCAGTTTGTGGCAAGTCTTATGTATAAAATTACTCATGATCTAGCGCCCTTACGACTTACTGATAATTTTCAAAAGACGTCTTCCTCCCAGCTTTATAATTTGCGGGGCTCTTCCACTAAACTCCATTTGCCCAAGCCTAAGACTGAATATCTTAAAAAAAGTCTTAGCTATAGAGGGGCTAAACTGTGGAATAGTCTCCCAAATGAATTAAGAGGAAAAGAATCACTAGCTATATTCAACAAAAACGTATGACACCTGGCTACTAATTTGAGTTTTCAAATCCATATTTACCATTGACTATTTAATCTATTAATATTTACTATAACCTATTTAATTATGTATGTAATTGTAATAACTGCATGTAAGTAACTGTATTTGTATGTTTAACTTTTCTAAATTTTTAATGTAAATTTGGATTTAATGCTACGCCCCCCTTGGAAATCAGCTTTTGCTGTAGGGGTTAGCGTAGTAAAATAAAGTTTTACCTACCCTTACCTACCTACCTTAATCTAGGCCCTGTGGGCTATGTCTAAAACTAAACATTGCTTATCATTGTTGTGCCCAAAGCCTCCAAAGCGTCAACAGGCGACGGGATGGGATCACAAGCAATGTAAAATTGTTCCAAGACCTTGTTTACGCTGAAAATTTGGATGACATATCGGTCACTGAAATATGGTTCAATGATAATGTCAGTCTCAATGAAATATTGCCTTCTGGTTACAACATCATCGGAAAAGATCGGCCATTCAACAAACGTGGAGGGAGTGTATTGCTAGAATTGCGGAATTCAGTACAACAGAGTCAACTCTGACCATCTAGATATTGTCTCCATAGAGATTGAATCACATACACCAAATAAATGCCTACTGTGCCTACAGACCACCGAACCGTGCTCTTTTAATAAATGTTATTTTACGTTGTTTTTTCAAGTGGCTAAAAAATTTGAAAAGGTTTTTATAATTTCCTTTATCCTTTCCTTTCCTTTATAAAGTCCTCGAGCGTTGCATTTTCGACCAATTGATTAATCATGTCTCAAGTGAGCTGCATAACCTCCAATATGGATTTCTCTGGGGGACGCCTACAACATCACAATTACTACAGGTTCTACACGAGTTTGGCGAGTCACTCGACAAAAGAATCCAAACTGATTTCCTTTATCTCGATTTCGCTAAAACGTTTGACAGGGTTAATCATCATCATCAGCTGCTTCTCAAGAAACTTGCTGAGCTGGTTTCAAAACCATCTAACAGTTCGCCATCAACATTTTAGGCAAAATATCACGACCAATACCAGTTCTATCAGGTGTTCCTCAGAGTTCATTCCTTGGCCCTTTATTGTTTCTTGTATACGTGAATGATCTGCCTGAAAAGTCCACTGTATCGTCTGTTGCACTGTTCGCTGATGACGTAAAAGATCCCCAATGTGTTCTGGATGGAATCAGCCCAGAGGAGGTTGGGTGACTATACCGGCATGCATTGCGTCTCATTATTATTCACAATTGCGATTTTCGACAAACGTTTAGTGAAAAGTTGTTGAAATATATTGCGATTTTTATCTTTGAAGACATCATTTTTTCGAAGGTATGTTTTTATATTTGTATTATTTAAGAACCTAATTAAACTATTTTCGACTTGTTTGGTACAGAAATTGCTTTTTAGTTAAGTTAATTACGTATTATATTTATGCTTGATTCGGGTCAGTGGACACGCCACAAAAGTGGCTTTCAAAAAATGCAGAAGCTACTTTCATTTTTTTGATGGGAAATTAAAATAAAACACGTCGGAGAATTAAGGAAAGTTTATTCTTTCCATTCGTACTTTAAAACTCAAAGTAGCTCGACGAAATCGACTAGTAATCGCGGTTTGAAAATGGGGTACTTTTGCTATATTCTTTCGCTGAGGGCGGGAATTGACCGCGCGGTTATCATTTGGCGCGAAGTAAAAACTACAGTACGAATCACTATTTTCTTCAAATTCTTTTGAACAAACGCATACATGTTTCCACATTTAACTGTACTGAGTCTACTGACCGTGTTTCAGAATCCTGGATTACAATATTACTGTAAAATATAATAAAAATACAGTACGACTGAAGATTGTTGTTCAACTGAAGAGCAATTTCCGATTTAAATATTGAAGTTTACACTGTTTATTTTGTACTTTCCTAGCAGAAAGATTTATCAGACTCCTATAAAGAAGTCCCCAGTAAAATATCATAAATGGACCTTTGAGAAAGATAGGGCACTTGCTGAATTCATATCAATTATCAAAACAGATCCAATGTATCAGTATAGAACACATGTTTGAAAGTGGCCATCGTTTAACCCATTAAGCTGCAGAGCTTCCCATTGACGAGTAAAATCGTCTGGCGTTAGACAAGTAAAAAAAAATGTAGGGCGCATTACGGCTCAATGGGTTAACTAGAGACATTGTCAGATTTTTTGGTTAACCCATTAAGCTGCAAAGCTTCCCCACTGACGAGTAAAATCGCGTCTGGCGTTAGACAAGTAAAAAAATAAGTAGGGCACATTGTGGCTCAATGGGTTATATAATGTCTATAATGTGAAGAACAGTTTCTGGGATGATGGTGCCATGCATATTCAAATATTCAGTACTTTCTCACAGTGGTGGAAATTCACTTTTTCCGGGGGGGGGGGCAAACCTCCTAAATTTCCGACAAAACTTTCAAATTTCCAACATACCCCCCGTTTGCACTCGAAAAGACTGTTTTTAGCCCTCTTAGATCAAAATTTCTGAAAATTTGTCAATTTTCCGGAAGGTGGGGGGTGGGCGGCCGCCCCCCACCCCACCAAGATTTCCGCCACTGCTTCCTCAAACATTCTGCTGTCAAGTATAAAGTTTGTTAGAGTTCTTTATAATAAGGGTAACTACCTGCAAAATTCAAAAGAAATAGGTCATAGAGCAGCAGTATGATGACACAGAGTGAAAATGTGTCCTTATCATAAATTATACCACATTATCTGTTTTTCATACTTTATATAGATTGCCGTCTGCGAACATGAACAACTGTTTGCTACAGAAAAAAGTTTGCAAGATGCTGACATCCATTATCGTTTGACCCAATCTGACAGTTTAGCAGAACTTAAATCTAAGTATATCTAATCATAAATCTAAGCCTGTCATGGAATCAGCAACAGAGTGTGGCCATTTTGGTGTGGTTATTTTGCAGTGAGGTTCAAACACAAATGATTACAATTTTATAGGTTTACAAAGAAATATAATTCCTCTAGAATGTTTAATGTACATCATTAAGAGAAAAAAGCATCACTATTCGTATACAGTGTATTTTTATCATTCACCTTTCATGTAGCATTATTAGAGTAATGTTAACATTTTTTGTACTTTGACAGAAATAAATTTTATTGAACATCAATTCTGTGTGATCTGTTTACTTAAGTATCTTTTATAAGAGTGAAATAAATAAAACCATACCATGTGTTAAGACTGTTAGCAGGTATTTAATCAGTTAATTGTTTATTATTAGCCATATAAAACTGCAGAATTGGTAAGATGGCATCACAGAATACCAACACTTATGCTACAGCTGCATATAATAGGAAATGCCAAGAAATAACCTGCAGGGCAAAGAAAACCTGGGTATAAGTTATTAACCACAGTCAGTATACAGCACAAACAAAAAACAGCACTTGAAACAAATCAGGGAATTTAATAGGTCAGGATGATGTTCAAACTAGAGTTTTGGGGTCAAATACACAATTTATGTAAATACTGTATATTATTTTGTGTGCCAGATGATTGACCCTTGACCCGTTATTTTGAGTGCTAGAAAAGTCAGTATTACAAGACTCTGCCAAAACCAATTTTGCATTTCTATTTATGGCAAACACTATTAGTAGTGGTTGTTTCAATGCAGTACAGCATAGCATCACACATTTCGTATGGTGACAGTACAGTTTGATTCTTTTTATGCCAAGATAGTAAGTCTTCCATTGAAGATATTGAGATGAAGGGTATTGTATACAATGCAACCAAGGTTCACAGCTATATTGAAGTACCAGTAACAGCTTTCGTCTCCAGAGCTATATCGCCATCATTCACCACATCACATCCAGATGTTCTTCATCCTGTCCATGTTATGGCAAGAATATCCTCATTTGTAACCACTTCCATTGATGAAAAGTTTGAAAACAACTGAAAGATAAACAAAGAGAGCACAGACTTTGTTATGCACTGTGTTTATAGGTGTACAAGACCTACTACGTATCTCAATTGGGCTGCTAAAACAACTAAAACATGCTTTCTACAAAGCTGTGGCAATCATCTTTATCACTGAATATTTTCAACAAATAACATTGCCTGGTGTTAGGCAGAATAAAATAATAAAGTAGGTTGCATTTATACAGTATCAGGTACTGACATGAATTAATTTTCAAGTCCTCAATCAAATATTCTCCCCCAGCTAAATAAAACTAACATAGTCAAAATTCCTCTATTGAAAACATGAGATGTACGTATATTTATAATCATGTCAACATTTTCAAAGGATTCAACTCATTCAAGTATTTGATGCACAAACTTTTATAAATTAGACAACACAATGAATTAAAGTAAACAACGTGCATCTAAATCATCTTACCGTAAAAATGCAGCTCGAATTGTATTTCTATCAATGCAGGACTGCATTCAGCGAACATTTCGTAGACTTTCTTTCAAATATTTCCATTATAAACAAGTAAACAACCGATGGACATAGCACTATTGGCACATTCTCACGACATTCAAGTTCGACACACGGTATAGATTAAAGTTTCTTTAGACACGCATTCGCACAATGAACAAACAGAAGCTCTTGTCCATTCAATACTGAAACATTCTTCCCTCGAATGCAGCGAAAACTTGCCATTTTAGTTGCAATATTGAAATACTTATCCAGTTCTGACTTCCGCGAAAGCTACCGAACAATGACGTGCACTGCCGAGAAATCGATAATATGTAACAAAATGTGCCTGGCTGCAATGCATGCCGGTATAGTCACCCAACCTCCTCTGCGTTTTGACTGAATGATGCTCGTTTTGAAACACGTATGTTCGATTCGAATAGGTGTTGATTGGCTCGCAAGTGCGGCTATTTGATATTCGATTTGACAAATACACGTTCGATTTGACAAATACACGTTCGATTTGGCTAGTGTTTGCTCGATTTGAATGTATATCGATCGATTTCAATGATCGATTTACATATCAGTCTGCTCGATTCGAGTAAGTGTTGCTCGATTTGCATCATTGGTGAACGATTTATAACTATTGAATTTTGACAGTAAAAACGCGCCATAATTATGAAATGACGTTACCCCACAAGTATATTAGGAGCCGCTTTGGGACTTCAGATCACCCCTGACGAAGAAACTAGACTGGAGTGTCGAAAGGTGCCATCGTGAATACAATCCTGGACATTATCCTCATTTTCGCGGAGGTAAAGACCCCTGGCTTGCGAGGATGGGACATTATATCTATTTGCGCAAATCTAGCTCCAGTTATATTAATAGCCCAGTTGCAAATTTAGTTTTTGGAGCTTAGTACTTCATTTAATTCACAATTTAGGGGATTATTTGTCGGCCATGTTTTCAGTGATTTTGTTCCTGGCCAGACTGGGGTCAGTACCTAGCTATATGATTGAGGCTTATGATTGGCTGTAGTGGTTTTAAGTTAATTAAATTGATTTGTTGCGAAACTTGGCATTATATATTCGTATTACGTATGCGTAGTATAGTATTAGGTTATGTAGCTAGGTAGTCAAGGTAATTAATCTGGTAGTCTAAGTAGTGGAGGTAATCTAGGTAGTGGAGGTAGTGGGGGTAGTGGAGGTAGTGGAGGTAATATAGGTAGTGGAGGTAATGTAGGTAGTGGAGGTAATGTAGGTAGTGGAGGTAATATAGGTAGTGGAGGTAATCTAGGTAGTGGAGGTAGTGGAGGCAATGTAGGTAGTGGAGGTAATGTAGGTAGTGGAGGTAATGTAGGTAGTGGAGGTAATATAGGTAGTGGAGGTAATCTAGGTAGTGGAGGTAATATAGGTAGTGGAGGTAGTGGAGGTAATGTAGGTAGTGGAGGTAATCTAGGTAGTGGAGGTAATGTAGGTAGTGGAGGTAATATAGGTAGTGGAGGTAATCTAGGTAGTGGAGGCAATGTAGGTAGTGGAGGTAATGTAGGTAGTGGAGGTAATATAGGTAGTGGAGGTAATCTAGGTAGTGGAGGTAATCTAGGTAGTGGAGGTAATCTAGGTAGTGGAGGTAATCTAGGTAGTGGAGGTAATCTAGGTAGTCAAGGTAATCTAGGTAGTGGAGGTAATCTAGGTAGTGGAGGTAATCTAGGTAGTAGAGGTAATCAAGGTAATCTAGGTAGTCAAGGTAATCTAGGTAGTCAAGGTAATCTAAGTAGTGGAGGTTATCTAGGTAATCTAGTTAGTCCAAGTAATCTTGAAAGTCAAGGTAATATAGGTAATCTAGGAAGTGAAAGGTAATCAAGATAGTCAAAGTAATATAGGTAGTTAATGTTAAAAAAGGTAGCCATCGCTCTGAGCTTTACTAAAAAAGGTTGCTGTTCCGCTACCGTCAGTAAAAGAAAGCCGATGCAAGCGCAAGGCTCTCCAGTTGATGAATAAAACTGCAGTATGAGATTTTGTCAAAGTAGAATAAAAAAGATGCATTCGAATGCGTTGTTCCTTAATGGATTATTTGGGAAGAACTCAAAAAATTATGCCCGCCTCAACAAGTTAAAAACTAGTTTACTAAATTAAACCTTGTATAAAATACCTAGAATAAACTAGTGAGTATATAGTATATGCCAAACTTTCCCTGGACCTAATGTTGCTACATCGGTTACTCGTTAATTATCTTTTTTATTAAAATGTACGTACATATTGAAATATGATAAAATTTTATGGCAAGTTCACGGCAAAAGTTATAAAAGTAGATATACAATTGTTTTTCATATTCAAGCTGCGCGCATTGAATTTTGAGTATTTGTGCATTGCATTTTGGGTCTATTCATTGATTAAAGTTGAGAATTTTGCTAGCTATGTACATACATTTTATTTACTGCCTTGCTTGCTCACCTGTGGTGGCAATAATCGTTACATGTCAATTTTTTCTTCACTATAATACCACTATAATAAATAACTGGACCTCCCCTTCTGAAGCAATATTTTCAGGTGCCCCTTTTTCGGTCAAAAATACCTCATGACCCACCCCCTTTCTTTGCCAGCCCACTCCCAGTCACAAATAATGAATGGTCCCATAGTTGACAATGTACGTATTTTTTTTAACTGAAAAATTAAAAACATTTATATATTCGTAGCTAGTTTTTCGGTCCAGTGATGTTTGTATCATATGATATGCAGAATTGCATGCTGTATAGACTAGCAATTGCTTTGGCACTCAAAATAATAATAATGATAATTACAATATTTAGTCAGGGGGCCCACTCACGAAAGTGATTTTTTTTTATTAACAATAATTTATCATTACTTAGTGGTAGAAAAACGTAACAATTTAGATCGATTTTGTTAAACAAGGACAAAGGATAAAGCCTAAAACTTACTTTCCGTTTATTTATTTGTTAATCTTCGCTGTTTGTTGGCATAAATTTAGGTGAAAAAGGGACTTTTCCTGGGGGGCAAAATGTGACTTCGTGGGGGGGCACAAGGGGGACTGGGGGGGGCAAATGCCCCCCCCCCAGCTTGTATGTTAAAAAAGGCCCTGACACTAGGCCTAAGGTTTGGGTACGCGTTCTATACCTTGGTGAACAAGGTAAAACTTTAGTTAAAAATTGCCGACAAAGAAAATACAAAGATGCCTAACTGTTCCTGTAAATTTCATAATTATTTATGACAACAAAAAGTTTTCTTATTTCCTTTCAAACAAAGACAAAATTCCTAATCTGTCGAAATCTAGTGTAGTTTATGAGATGACATGTCCTGGCTGTTCCGCAACGTATGCATGCCTATTGGGATAACAGAAAGACGTTTACAGACGCGCGACTTGCTGAGCATACTTATATCCGAGTAATTGGACATAATTTTCACAACTGCGAACATGTGTAATACATTGTGAACCTACACTTTGCTTTTGACAAACTTAACAACTCAACTGACGCTGACAATAACGTTTCCACTTTTATTTCCAACTTAATAATTGACAATTCTTCTGACAATTCACACTATTTATTCCGCACACCTAATTTTCTTTTGTTGCTTGATGCTCTATATATCAAGTACGTCCATTCACCCAGTTTAAACACTGGACTCAAAGCCAGCAAAGAACTTAAGCTTTTTTCTTCATCTATACACCCACATTTCATCACACTTACATTTCACTGCACCTGTCGTGGGATTGAGACTTCCGTTATGTCATCATGCCTTGTCAGTATAAGACCTTGTATATATTGTAAATACAGTTAGTCTGATGATGATTTTGTAATAAAATCGAAATATTTACTCACTCACTTTTTTACTTATATTTTGGGTTTCAAGATGCTTATCACTTCGGATTATGTTTTGTTCTATATTTTTTGAAATTGTCGGCTGGTATTGATTTTTTTCAGACTTCAGAGTTTAGCTTTTCAACAGGAACATTTCAGAAGTAGCTTTTTAACGCGAAGTTGAAGACATTGGTTTTATAGTTAGGAAAAGTTCTGCTGAACCTATGGAATTTGAAGTTGCACTTATTGCGCTTGAAATGCAGCCGCTTTGTATCAAGACGTGCAAATCTATGAGCAAAGGACAACATATAAATTATTCATATCTTGTAATTATTCCATTCTTTTCAATGATTTATTGGTAACCTTGCCGTCCTAAATCGTAAGGGCCCTTATTTTGATCGTGCGGTTGCGTCAGGATAGTCCACGTACTGCTCCCGCAACATCCCACATGCTACTTTAGGGAGCCACCTTAAATTAATAAACTCTTTCCTGGGAGCCTCGCTCTCATGAATCATGAGCTAATCACATTGTGTATGTGTGACGTATTACCAAAAGGGTGTATTAAAACTTGCTGCAGGCACTGCCACACAGCCACAGACCTGTAGCCTGTAGGACCGAGTGTAAGCACAGAATAAAGATCATTGTATTTTGGGAATATATAAAATGTCTGACGACATGAACAACGTTGACGAGATGTCTACTTCTGAAGATGAATCGTCTAAATCGGCAGATGAATTTAATACCGAGGTAAGCAAAAGCAATTTAATCGCAGAACTATCGGATATCGTTTCCTCGGCCACGAGGCACATGTTTTCGAACGCGCAGATTGTAATTTGCGTATTAATCTGTCGAGATGCCATAGGCATAGTGGCTAGTTTTGCGGCGTTGCGTAACGTGTTGGTATGACTCAGTGTATGTGCTTTGTCGATGCATTATTCATTTATTTGTATCACATTTTAACAGGACAGTGAAACACAGAAGTTCTTTGTCAAGGATGGAAGTACGTATGTCAGGTTGAAAAACGAAGTGGCTCTTTTTTCGGACTTCACTCTGAAAGTTATAGGCGAAATCTGGCCAAAACATAAGCGAAACAAGATAACGTAGAATACCACAGACGAGGGGAAGTGGGGCAGTGGTTGATGAGCTGTACTGGACGTTCTTTCTCCACGAAAGAAACAAGGTATGAACTATTTTATGATCGTTGACACTTGACAGCACTAAAAGGCTATTTTAGCTAGAGGATCAATGTTGTGGTACGGTGCTTCAAGTTACAGTGTACCGGCAAATAATCTAGATTCTAGATTCTAGTTATAATCCATTTATAACGTCCCAGTTTTATCAAGACCGTTTAGCCTAAATCGTGGATATTAAAGTTAAAACTATAAAATAACATACTTTGATTTTATAGTATAAAAAGTTTTAAACTATAAAATAACATACAAGGTTTTTAGACCATTTCACCAGTATGCTTAACGTGCGCTGCCGCGCTCGATTATCAAGTTCCCCGCCCTCACATTTTGCATGCATAATGAGAAATCATTTCTGTAGCTAACGACTTACCAAAAAATCTACATCTTAAACGATTTGCAAAAAATTATATATCTTCATGGGATGCTTTTGAAAGTTTGACGGTCTTTGGCTTTGTGGACTACGACATAGTTATTGGCTTTGCGCCGCGAGATTAGAACGCTTCTGGTTTATATCGAAGCCTAAGCACTGCGGCAGAAGGCTTCCGAAACGTGATATTTCCCATCTCAAATGATCAAAGAACAAAACCGTGTTCGCGGTTTTTTCACAGGTATTGTATTTGCTTTGATATAAAGCAGATATTTACAGTTTAATTCACTCATGCTCATATGCCGGCGAAACGCAAATGTATAAAGATTAAAGGAGGGTATTAAGCTAAAGAGCGATCTAAATCGGTCAAACGAAAATGCAGCACAACTGCAGAAGATCTGTCATGTACCACGAGGAAGAGACAAGCGAATTGGAATGTCATGCACTCATGCATCCGACATCGAGTATCACATGTACCATGAAAAGTCTCTCAGTTTGCGTTCACCGTCCGTGTGCTCCAAAACCTACTTTGCAGAAAACTCAGTAACTGTTACAGAATTTTTAAGTTCCAAGTTGCCAAACAGCAGTGAGACGTCCTATTTCGCCTGCATGTAATTTCGACTACAAGACGTCATTGTCAACAAAGCCTGACATGGCATTTAGGGGCGGACCATTTCATTTTTGTTGGGGGGGGTTGGAAGATTTCGAAAAAAAATTTCTTGCAATCCAAGGAGAAATAAAAAAAATCATGAAGCATACAATTGAGAAAAAAATATCATACAAAAGAGAGCGCTCAAAAAAAAATCCCACATGCAAATCTACTGACGTTCTTCACTTCAGTATTGTGTCCACAGGCTTCCAAGATTTTGCATTTTTGAGCAGGCACATTTAAATTGTTTAGTGAAAACCACTATGACTATCATGCCATGTCCATGTACAGTATATTTAAAATAGTCAGTATTTAAAAAAACAACATGAGGTTAAATTGGCACCATTTGCATAAAATATTACACTGCTGACCACCGACCGCTAAATATTTCATGTAATTGTTATTTATAAAAAAAAAAATACAAATGTGGCAGCTATTTTCTAATGTGGGTGCTGATGAGAAACCAGAATTTTTTTACTTGACTTAACAAAGCTTTTAAATACCTAATTTATATAGGCAAATTACAGTTCCTGTGGATGCATTTGACAACAAACAGCATCTTATTACTACACTGAGGAACGTCTTTCCATGTGGGACATTGACAATGACTTCTGTTGTTACGAACAGCCTTGTCAACCAGTATTGGGAACAATTAAGGACAAAATACTTAAAAAATGTTGGAAAAGATGGTCAGTGTGAATCGCGTATTTGTTACCTGACAGACCATCATGGTTCGCAGTCTGAGGGATACTGGTTACTTTCTTCACATGTAAGTGCATTCAATTCCATGTAATAAAATTCATAATTAAAATTCAGGGTAAATTTTAAGATTACAGTGAATGAAAACTGCAATCATTCAGAAAGATATCATGGGGAATTTTGTGGTGAATGCCAGATGATTTTAGTCCTGTCAGTGGTACTGTACTGCCAATAAATCGGTTTAAAAATCTATTGACTATTGACATATAATATACTCATTGATATGCATCTAATTGTCTTATACCATATTCTATAGATACATCTTGATCATGGTAAACTGCTAAGTCCATCTGAAATGAAATACTTTCCGGAATCAGACTTATCAGCATATTCAACGGATTTTAATCCAAAATTGCTTGGAAAGACGTATCTTCAAAATGTAATAAAAAGGTAACATAAATGTCATATTTAAATTGCTACTAACTGTCTTAAATTTACTCTAATTCAGCTAGCCAGTTCAAACAGATTTATATATAATGCACTGTAAAATATTAATTATGCATGTGCACAAATGAGCCCACTTTTTATGATACAAACAGTTTAACTATGTTTTGAGTTCTTGAAAAGCCTGATTGTTGTTTCTTGATAATTTATTATACTCTAGAAGCTTGAAAATATAAATAGTTGTCGAATAAAGCTCAATATTTTGGACACAAAAATGTAAACAAAGGCTTTGTTTACATACGGACTGTAGATCACCTTTAAAACATTTGCAGCCAATCTTTATCTGATATACAAACTCGAGCCAAAGGCAGTAGTTTGTATATCAGATAAAGATCGGATGCAAATGTTTTAATGTATGTGCTAAACCTTGACAGGATATAATTTATCACTTCAAATGATAGTGGTCATCTCCTCTTATTAACTGACTTTTGACCATTTTCTCAAAAAAAAAAAATTATTTTGAGCCCCTTAACTATTGTACTTCAAGACTGCATAGTTTATTTTTAAAAAAAAACATTATACAAGGCGAAAAAAGCTTTCAAATTAAGTTACCTTGTTTGAAAATTTACCCCATAGCAACGCATTTAGGGACAAAATTCGCTCAAAATTTCGTCCCAAAATCGCTTCAAACAAGTTCGTTTATGTTTCTCCTTTTGGTGTATGGAATTTAGAGTCTTCTGACCTAGCTGCATTGTGATTGGTTGCTTTGGGGAGCCATGGCAACCCGTTTTCTTTGTCTGTCTTGTGATCGATCGCATTTGCATTATCTGTGAAATTGTCTACAAAAACCTTAGTTTTTTTAACATTCCAAGTCGAAAAGTTGCTGTTCTAGTTTCCCAAAGATTTCTTTTGTTATTTGGGTTGTAATTTGAAGTCATTAAATGGGAAATCTGCAGAACAGAAAGAGAAAACGGGTTAGAAAGACGCCTTCCAAAATGGCAAAAAAATTCAAACATGGCGACGAACCTCGTGACAAAGAAGCTGGGCCTTCCGGAGCGAAAATTGGTGCCCAGACAGCAAATTTTGGCGTTAATTCTGAAAATATAGACAATATAAGGGAAGGAACAGCATTTATGGATTTATCAATCTTATTTGGTGTCTTTGATAAAATTCTGAAATGTCCTGACTGTGGAGATGAAATGAAGTCACATGTTGACATGAGGAAAAAACATGGGTATGCTCATTATATTTCTTTGCAGTGTGTGGCATGCGACTGGAAGTATTGTTTTAATACCTCAAAGAAGCAAGGACAGTCCTTTGAAATCAATGTCCGGGCAGTCTTGGCCTTTAAGAAATCGGTAAAGGGCACAGTGCCATGACAACTTTCAGCAAAGTTCTCAACATGCCTGCTCCACCACGACGTGCCAACTTCACAAAGATCCAAAATAAAAAGCTTTTACCCGTAGTGAAGCAGTGTGCCAATGATAGCATGGTCAATAATGCTATGCATGTCAAGGAAATTATTGATAATGATGCTGGAGAATGTGGAATATCCATAGATGGCACATGGCAGAAGCGTGGTTATTCATCTCACAACGGTGTTGTTACGGCAATTTCCCTCGACACAAAGAAGTGCCTTGATGTTGAAGTCCTGTCCGACAAGTGCCAGCAGTGTCTCAAGTGGAGCAAAAAGCAGAATGATCCAAAGTATGAGGAATGGAAAGCCAATCACCAATGCAAGATCAACCATACGGGGAGTTCTGGCAGCATGGAGACAGCTGGTGCCTTAACGATATTTGAAAGATCATGCGCTACAAAGGGGCTGAAATACAAAGATATGCTTGGAGATGGTGATTCGTCCACTTATAGTGCTATTCTAGAAAGTAAACCCCATGGAGAGGACTGTATACCCAGCAAACTAGAATGTATTGGGCATGTCCAGAAGCGAGTCGGAAGCAGACTGCGGAGGCTAAAGAGTTCGAATAAAGGCAGAAAACTCTCAGATGGCAAAGGAATATCTGGCAAAGGTCGCCTAACTACTGGAAAGATGGATGTTCTCCAAAATTATTATGGCTTGGCAATAAGAGAAAACCTTGATAATGTTGAAGAAATGGCTAAGGCTGTAAAAGCGTCTCTTTTCCATGTTGCGTCAACAGAAGAGTACCCGCAGCATCATCTTTGCCTGAAAGGTGAGGACAGTTGGTGTGGCTATCAAAGAGATTCCAAAACATACAAACATAAAAATGGTATTCCAAAGCCCATTGTTGAGTTGGTTGAGCCTATATTTGATGATTTGGCTGACCCAGCTTTGTTAAAGAAATGCACCCATGGCTTGACCCAGAATCCGAATGAATGTTTGAACGGGATCATCTGGGACAGATGTCCAAAGACTACATATGTAGAGCAGGAAACTGTAGCTCTTGCCACCTACCTAGCAGTCCTAAAGTTTAATGATGGGGACATATCATATCTTAAAATTCTGGAAGACTTAGATATAACGCCTGGGTTCTTCACTTGTAAAGGTGCCAAAGACTGCGACAGAGCAAGGATCA